TCACGTCCCATCGACCGCTCACCTGGTGATGGGCTCTTCCGCTTTGGCCGCTGTCTACCGGCAACCTTCCAGTCGCCCTCGGCTTCTGGAATGGTTGGCATGGGTAGTTCCGACGGGCTTGGGGCCCTCACGACCTTTGCCGCCTGTTGGGCGCTTCTCTCTTCTGCCTCCTGGGCCCGCTGCTTTTGCTTCAGGAGGCGGTCGCTCAACGCCTTGACTTGGTCTTCGGCGGAGGTTTTGGCTTCTTGTGCCTCGCGGCTTTGCTGCTTCGCCTTCTTCATGGCCACCTCCTTTTCCCGAGCTTCTTTCTTGGCCTTGTTGACGGCGATTTCCAGCGAGGCAATTCTCTCCGCGGTGTCTTCGTCCCGCTTCTCCCTCGCCTTCTTGGCAGCAGCATCCGCCACTTGTTCCAAGAGCTCCATGATACCAGGGGTCTGCAGCAGCGCCGCCATGGTCCCCTGATCTTGCTCTTGTTTCTTCTCCGCCGCCGGTGGGGCACTCGCTTCCCCCATCGGTTCATCTTCCTCTACGGGTGGCGGAGTGGCTGTGGAGGGTCCAGCCGTGTCCTCCCAGACTTTTTCACCTCCTTGCCCATCCCGGGCTTTAACTTCACCAACCGAGGTCGGTGTCCCCTCCCGGGGTGTCTCAAGCTCTCCCGACGTGTCGGGGGTACCCTTGCGGGCAGAACTGTCTGATTCCTTGGCCTCCATGGCGGAGACCGGGGAGGGAGCCCGTTGCTCCGAACTTGCGCGTCCGCCCAGGCGGAAGCGTGGTAGCCACCCTCAGGTGGCTCCGAAACCAAATGATACGAAAAGACCATGGGTGTGGGGTTCCTGCCCTCTTTGAGCCGCGGACCCGCCTCGCCGGGTACCTAGGTCCTTACGGGGACCTAGGCGGGACCACCCCTCCTACTCCCATATCCTTATAAGTATAATGGTTATTGTAGGACAAGGATTATAATACGATCTTGGGCAGGGCGTCCCCCACACCAAGGGCCAGTAGTAGGGCGTCCCCCCACATCAGGCCAGTGCGCGTAACACTGTCAGTTGATATTCTAAACACATTTCGAGTCGAAATGTATGCAGCGTATAGCTCGATTTGGGGCAAGATATGTGAGGGCAAAATTGATGGCATGTAGCCGTCGACCTCACACTATTGCCATACATTCAATGCATTGGCCGATCAATACCGTATTTACCCGGTATTAGTAGGCACCCCCTATTAGTGTCCAACCCCCTCTTTGGGGGTCGAAACCACGTCAGTATCCATGACCCGGTGTTAGTATCCAACCCCAAACATAGACAGAAACGAGCGAAGGCACGGATGGTGGGAAGGGAAAACGGCGGCTGGTGTTGGACCGCGTTGCCTAGTCTAGACCAAAACCGTGTTCCCTGCGATTCGCACATCGACGGGGACGATCGGTCGGAGTGGATGTTGTCGAGGGAGAATTTGAAAGAGGGCCTGGGAAAGGCCGCATGGTTGACTGCCCGCCATTTGCGCTCTCAGCACAGGATCGCAGAGCATCGACCGATGCCGCGGGGCCCAATCAAAGAAGCGGTCGAGAAATCAAAGCCGCCCTATTTCTGGATTGAGTTAACTTGCTCCCTGGCCGGCCAGTGTAGGTTCTGGCCTGCCGCCTGCCAAGGGCGCCCCAAGCCCAGCGAAAGGAATGGGCAGGCGACGGCGTTGGTTGGGGCAGCTGCCGTTGTGAGACCCCTCATTTCAAAACTGCCTACATAGCGCTGCCAAGGCCGGGCCCGTCCCCGACTCGCACATCGTACTAGCTACCAGGCCACAAACACAATCACAAATCACATCAGCCTTTCCAGCCGCCATCAGCCCCACGCAGCGCCGCGTTTCAAGCTTATTGTTGCGATATTGCACCCCAACAAATTGAGACCCATATCAATCCTGGTTCTTTGCATTGCAGAGGAAAACGCGCCTAAAGCATTCCAGCAAACCCCTAGTGGCCCCAATCGCCAGTGGCCACCACCTGATGCAGCCCCAAGCCAAGGCCGCCAGCTCTTGTGAAGAGGCTGACAATATTCCGCACTAGCATTGCCATTCTTGTCCATTTCTGCGCATTAGACAGCCTATTTATCAAAAATTTTCTCTCTCGGCTCTGAGATCAGGGGTCCAAACGGCGTTAGTATACATGACCCACTATTAGTATCCACCGCTCATTTTGGAGGTCCAATACACGCCTACTAATACAGGGTAAATACGGTATGTTGTACTAAAGCACCATTGCACCAAATGCAAGGGTGCAGCAAATGGCCAACCCATAGGAAGACAGAATGCGTTCTGCAATCTAAGGGCAGAGTGTGGGATGCGGCAACCACAGGGAACGCGCAGAGCTGGGGCAACTATCATGGCCATGCAGTGTGGGCAGCCGCGGACTTGAGACCAGAAAAGATGAGCAACCATGACATGCATATGGGCGGCGCACACAAGCACCACATCGTGTAGAGGACAGGTCAGGGGAGGTTACTTATTCAACAATGGAAACAAGAACTTCCAATGCTGTCTTTGTGGCATGCTTGCCTTTGGCCCAGAGGCTTTGGGTTGTTGGCTGACCATTTGGGTCTTGATAAAGATCGGCAGTGCCGAACGCCCTTGTTGTGAAACTCATTTTTCTGGTCATCTGATGGTTGGAATGTGGCGACATTCTGCTCCACTATTCTCTGCGGAATCCCACCCCCTTGGACAGGGGGGAGTGACTGGGCCTTGACTGGCGATACCACACACCGGTGCACGATTTAATCACATTATTATCATTCTCCCCCTTGCCCGCCCCTGTGATCTTGGAGCCGATTCAAGGGTATTGCAAGGGGTGTTTCATAGGGCAGTGCGAGAAAGGAACGCGTATAATCTGTTGGGAAAGCCGTGTTGCATGCTCGCAAGACTGCGCCGCTCCTCGAACTCTTGCCACGGCCGGGCACAACGGATGCTCGTTACAGCAGCCACAACCACAGCACGCACATTAGACACATGTTTCTTCGCTCTCCGCTTCCCAGGTGATTGCAAATTCAAGCTCCGCTCGAATACCCGTACAGCAAATCGTGGTTTGGCTAGCTGCAAGTCGTTTGCGTAGTTTGCTGTGGGAAGCTCATGCGTGTGCTGTCACTATGCTCTCGACCAGCAGCAGACGTTGTCGGCCGTGGCCATCCATGGCCATCTCCTGAGTGCACCTCTCTTGCCCAGTCTCGTTCGAGCACCGATGCAGTGCACTCTAGTGTCTCCAACAGACGCTGACACATCACCTCTGCACACCTTGAGAGAAATGCCTGCCCACCACGCTCGCAGGGCCCACTGGCGCGTCTGCACCGCTGTGGCTTGCATGTTCGGGAACTAGTAACCTAAACCGTGTCTTCCTAGCAACGTGCATGTTGGTGGCAAATCCCACAGCTTGTAGCATCTGCCCTGATTCGGACCAGCCGCCAATGTATAGATGGAGCAATATTCAGTCCACAGTTTAGTTGCAAAGGCTGGGGGCCTACCGGCTGTGGCTGGGCGTGGGACAGGCGCTATTGCCTGACCAGTCAGGTCCCAACCGAACAGGAAAGTCTTCAGTCCACTTTAAGTATATTCCCCACCGCAGCAACTTCCTTACTCGTTCAAGGATCAATGTTCAGGCGGCTCAGGCAGACCGGTCGTCTACAGGCAGTTCATTTATTTGAGGGAAGCCCTGGTGTGATTCCTTCACGGTCGCCCTTGCTCAATTCCAGGCCTGCCATGTGCTCCCTCCAAAAGAGCTGTTAGAGTGGCATTTCAAAGGATCAAGAGCTTTCCCATCATGTTGCACTTCGCTTGGCACAGGATATGATTCTTGAACTGTACCAGTACTGTGGGCTGGTCCTATCCCATTGGAGAGGGTAAGTTTCACCGTTCGTCCTCAAGCACTGCAAACCACTTTTTTCGGGTGAATGCCCGTGTGTCGACCTCGATCCCCCTACCACATCTAAGCAATTCCCGTTCATACAAATCTGGTTACAGCTATCCCATATATGCACCCAGGTATAATTTCCTGTGCCTCTTCCTACAAGCATGGGCACTGCCACAAATTCCACCATGGCGGCATGCTTGGGCCATTCCGTGCAATGGACCATGCAGTGAGTGCGCTTTTACATCCAGTCCAGCATCCAAACAGCAAAGGTGACCTGCTTTTGATCGCGTCATCATAGAGGAACACCCATCAATTCAATTAACCTTACAATTACCTGCCACAAGGGACAGCATTTACTTCGGCACCATCCTCTCCACAATCATCCGCCCAGGGCAGTTGAAAATCTTGTACCCCACAAAGTAGGACTGGGAAGCGCGCACTCCCAAGCACCCAATCTATGAGTTCTTGCCCTCCCCCCAATCTGCACTGTATCTACGCCTTGAACATAAGCCCGGCAGAGGTGCGAGGCACAGGGGAGGCAACCCGCCCCTGGCTCGCTGCTGTCTACAGAACGTCTGTGCCAAGTCTCAACCCCACACACGGGTCCAACAGGTGACTGAAAGGTGGCGCAGCGACGGGTCACTCTGATGGACCGACATGCAAACGATCGTCGTGAGAGAAATTGGGCCATGGGCGACCCTGGCTCTGACACGAGCCATTTCAGCAATATCCTCGATTGGCAGATATGCCAACCGCGCGCTAGGTTCTGCGACTTGGCATGTGGCGAATGCACAGCCCCCGCTTGCTGCGCCTCTTGTTTGGAAACCAAATGCTAAAGTGGCCTTCGCACCCATCCTACCCATTAACCCTTGTTATACAGGAGCTGGCTTGCAGCAGTTCACAGCCGCAAGGTTGATGCTTCCAGCCCGGTCCAGCCGGCAACAGCTCGGCAGCTACTGCTGGCACCCCCCAAGGAAGAGCCAGCGCCCGGCCCAGAGTGCACAGACGTTGCAAGCCCAGCAGCTGCTCTCTGCCTTCACTATGGGGTACCATCAGTAGGCTGCTGGGGTCAACCGATTGGGACAGATGCCCAGTGACAGGAGGGCGTTCGTTCTTACTCCTGCTCTGGCTGTGCGACCATGGGCAGCACAGTGAGGGGTCTCAGCATCTTCAGGATCTCCTGGAAGGTCGGCCTGTCTTCGGGTTTGGCAGCCATGCACTTCTCCATAATGCCTCGAACTGTGGGATCCAGCTCCTCGGGCAATTCAAGCTGCTGGCCATTGAAGCCAACAGCACCCACGACCTGCACACCGCACACACTAATCAGCTTCTTTTCCATTCCTTGGATGGTTTTTCTTCTACCTTTCTCTGTGGGAGATATCGACACTGCGGCAGGCAACAGTTGTAGTACATGGGCAATACTGGCATATTCTGCAGCGTCAGCAGATGGTCTTTCACTTGTCAAGTCGACATGACTTGGCAAGTGCCTTGGCACATCCAAGTGATAGGTTTCTAGATCCTGCACCTATCTGGACATCTACCAGGACAGGGCACAACACTGCCTGAGTTCAGAACTCCCCGTGTGCTGCACATACACACACATTCAGTAAGGCGCTGTTGAGAGTGACATTTGCACACAAGATAGTTGGCAAATTAGTCAACTACGGCTATGCTATGTAGAGAACAAAAACAACACGTGCTGAGCCCAGAAGGGTGCTAACTTGCCAGCATTGCCCACCTGAATCAAAAACAGGTTTGACAGGGACAGGTAGGGGCAGCCTCTCAGCAAGCCCAGTTGCAGTATGACAGCCAGTGTGGCCTATGCTGGAAGGACACATTTGCGAACCTTATAAACAAACAATCGCTGTGCTGCAGAACGCTCAGGCCACCAATAGCTTTTGCTGCTGAAGTGTACCATAGTATATTCAACCCTTCCACATTTTCATACTTTAGCATAACGATTTTGCTAAGCAAATTTTTCACAGATTGTTGTTTTTGGGGCGATCACGGTCACAGTCGAAATGGTGATTCTGCTCAGTTCGCATGGCCTCAAATGTTGGTTCTCCGCCACAGCGACTCATGCATGTGGGGCTGCTAAATGCCACGAGCAGTCCAGAAACCCTTGCATCGCGGCTGGGGCAGCTGTACAATTTCTTGACACCATTATGTATGTATTATTGCTTCACATAAACGGCGAAAACTCGTGTTACCACGCAGAAAGGCATAGTATACAATGGTGAGGTGATCCCATATCTAACTCAGCAGCTGACTCAATGAACACACGAGTTAACCAACGCAGGCACAATGCATCTCCACAGACTGGTGCTTTCATTCCAGTGCACAGGCAATATTGGTTGCAGTTTCAGAATGCAATCAACTGCATCGCCTCCTATTCTTGTGTACCTGCATGGCATGCAGCTCCTCCCATGGCTCTTTGCCGGTGACAAGTTCATACAATATCACGCCATAGGAATAAACATCGCAGCTCTCATTTGAGGGCTCGTTCCTCAGCACTTCCGGTGCCATCCACTCAGGTGTGCCGGAGCGAGACCAGGGGGCCAGGGTGCTCGCCTTCACCCTTGACAGTCCAAAGTCGCACACCTTCACTGTCCAATCCTTGTCCACCAGCAGGTTTGGGGACTTGAGATCGCGGTGGATGATGGGCGGCTTGAAACTGTGCAGGTAACACATCCCTGTGCAGCCAGGCAGAGGTGGTGGATGAATGCATGTGCCCATTGAAACAACATGAGAAGCTACACACAGGTCATGGCATGTGCTTGTGGTGAGTTCAGATCAGATGCTTCACTTCTCTGAAGGGCTGCGGGGACCTCACTGTGGATGGCTATAAAGACCCTTCGACCCTTTTTTTCACAAGCCAGAGACAACAACAGGTGGGCAGCCACTGACAAAACAGAAATAGATTGACTGTGTCTCTTGCACAATATCCCAGCGCAAAGTCTTGCACAGCAAAGGAGTCTCATATTAAGCCGATGCAAAGTGCCAAAGTATGCCTATGGCAGCTGTGAGAGAAGTACAGCAGCCAATCCCAACAGAGGCAGGTGTAAGCAGCAGAGTTGTAGGTGACCAAGAGCGGACCAGCAAGCAAGCAAACAAATGCAGGTACAGCTTATACGAAACAGCAAATAAAACCCAGCAATAACAGTCAACTAATTGAGGGGTAAGGAACAAGGTAGCTCATTCCATTGGCTGCGGGCTTAGTATGGGACAAGGTGGGCTTCAATTAAAAGAAAAGAACTACTGCACCAAAGAGTGATAGAAATGGACAGAATATTGCCTATGCACCAAAGGAGTGGCAGCTATGACCTTGTGTCCCACACGTGCCAATCATGCTGGCCATCAGAAGGCCCAAATAATATCCCCAAATAGCACCTTGTGAGTTTACACTGCACTATCCAATTTAGTGTTATCCCATTCACAAGAGGCTGCTACTTCAATGTGTATGCAGCAAAATACAAGATGGTTCATGGCAGCCTGCGGAACAGCACTCAAGCTGTGAATTCGCACTCACTAATGAACTAGGTACTTGAATGCTTGTAGTTCAGCATTCGATTCTGAACAATCGATGCTCCATCATGCAGTCAAAGACCACACCCAACTGCACAAGGACTCTGTGCGCACCTTTGGCAACGTCTGTGGCCATTTTTAATCTCAGACGCTCATCAATTTTGGCATTGGTCTTGTGTAGCAACCTGAACAGGGAGCCCCTGGGCAGGAATTGCGTGACTATTGATAAGTTGGGTGGCTCTGTCACAGCACCCATAAACAGCAGCACGTTGGGGTGTCTCAACCGCATCATTATGGCGATCTCGCTGCGGAATTCCTGCATCAGCCATGGCACAGGGCAAATTTCAATATTGACTTCACATGAAGCAAGTTGTGGTGCAAGGCATGCCCACATGCATGCAAAGAAAAGCTCTGCTACATTTTAGCACAAAGGCACACGAAGCGATGCAAGCAACAAAAATGGGCATGACTGGAACAAATTGACAGCAACAATAAAGAAACAAAAAAGAGCAAAAAACAGGCAGATACCAAGCAGAACATAACAGTTCCTAAACGGCAGCGAGGTACACGCACGTGCTGCAGATTTGCAGCTTTGATGCCAGTGTGTGCAAGTGTCCCACCTTCACAAGCTGCTCTGTGAACTCCTGGTCCTGCTCCAGTATCCTCTTCACCGCCACATCCGTGCCACGCCAATACCCCTTGTACACCTCCCCAAAGGACCCCATCCCAATCCTCGCCTCCAGCTCCAATTCTGACTCGTCAATCTGGTAATCCACATCCACCTCTGCAGGGGCCCCATCGTGGTCATGCTGCTCCATCCCGCCATCTGGACCATCCATCCCATTGGCAGCGATGCGATCAGGGGGACGATCATTGTCCGTCTCTTCAACTACCCTGATGGGCGCCGGGGCAAACTCTCTTAAGGATCCCTTGGCGCTCAAGTACATCAGACGGCCTGGCTGGCTCATGAGATCCACGATCAATTCCTCATTGTCGACAACCACGACGTTAATGGCCTGGACCATGTGGACGGTGTGGTTATTGGTGGAGCGGTGCGCCTGACCGCGCATTATCCGACACCTGATGTCCAAGGAGTCTGCCAAGACCTGGCAAAGGAGGTGGTCAAAAGCAATCAGCAAATCGGAAAAATATGTAAGCAAGGACATCTGCCAAGAGCAATCAAATCCTCAGAACACAACAACAGTGTTGCAGGGCAACAGAATGTCTTAACAGTGTGTGCATGGGGGATGAGGAGGTAAGGGTGCTAGCTCAGGAAAATCAGTCCACACTTTGAGAACTTTTACAGAGCTTCAGCACCTTGCAAGTGATGTTGGATAAAAACAACGATACTGCAAAGACAGCTTGACCTACCGCAGAGGTCCAGGAGCAACAAGTGGAAGTTGCCAAGTTTTGCTGCTATTGACTGCATGAACTGCATCAACTACAATGTGATCACTCAAGGCAGGCTTCCAGCTTTCAATGGGTTTTAGTTGCATATACACATGTACAGCAGCTGCACACATTGGGTTTAGTTGGGTTTTAGTTGTCCTTATAACCTCACTGAGACTTGAAGACAACATGCTGAAGATTGTCGCGTTCAACTATGCAAGCCATGCAACATCAATACTCAGTGCAATCAAATCATGAACAGTCAGTGAGCAAGCACGGAAGAAAGCAAAGCGAAGTGCCAACAATTGTCACATGTTTGCTTGTGCACTCTATGCAACTGCACGGCAGCAAATCCGCAAACCAGTGCCAGACATCAATTATAACAATACTGACTGATGACAACATTACATCACGCATTCACACTAAACAAGCATTGAGCTTGATGCAAATAGCATCAACCCAGTCGACACTGATTTGCCACCATAGCTGACAACACTTGGGAGACAACGACGCGCATGATTCTGGCAACACAGCATGGTCAAGAACAATTGTTCATGTCCTTAATGAAAATGGTGCCAAACGAGGAGACCCTGTGACACCAGGAGGCCCGTGAGTGTGAGGCAACCCCACCTTGTACATTAGGGCTCTGTGTCGGGACAGGCCAGTCTTCAGTTTGCCAAGTGGTATGACAGCAGACTTGTACCTCTTCTTCAGCCTCTGGCTGTTTCGCTTCCATTTGCGGACGAGGTTCTTCTCAAGTTCTTCAGGGCCGCCCATCTGATTGGCCACAATTACTGCCAGTTCCTGACAGCAGACGTGCCAATCTTCATTCTGCCTGCATTCCTCAAAAACTTGGCGAATCACTATGCCTTCACATATGGCACAATCCCAGGGCACACAAGTACATGCGGGTATTTGCCAGCATGCCACCATCGTTGAAAACTGTTCAAGAATTTTGCTGCAGATTGGTCCAATAAACACCTATTTGATGTACAGCCAACCAGATGAATCACAACTGTCTTCTGCGCCCTGAAGTCATCAGTCGCCAAGGTTCAGACATCTGAAAAATGCCTCTCCAGGCCCATGGTGTTGTTCACATAGTACCAGAATCACATCTGATAAGGATCAAGAAATCTGTAGGGGTAGAGTTTGTGTAAGAAGCATTGGCAGAATACAAAACCATGGCACTCAAAATGAGGAAGCACAACACCATATTCCAACACTTACCTGCACAATTGCCATATGGCCCTTGTCCTTCAGACGATTCTTTGTTTCCAAAGCCAACCTCTCCATTTCAACCAGCACAGAGTCTTTGTCATGATGAATGAGCACTACCTGCCCATGCACAGCTCACACCTCAGGGCATTGGCAAAATATGTCCAGAACATCATTTCTGCATGTGCTCATGAAATGTGACACATTAATCACTCTCAATTATTGGGCACATTGGTGCTGGTACATTTTGGCAAATGTTGACCTGCCCACTGTGCATGTCGATTGGAAGGATGGGTGCTTCAGACTGCAGCTGAAGCTGCAATGATCACGATTGAAAATGCACCAAACATGGCCACTTCCAAACAAGGAAGTCCTAAATATAGTAATGGACCACCGATTGACTCCTAAACAAAACAGAATGACTCATCAATCAACACAATCATTGGAAATAAACAGACCCAACACCCTCTTCCTCACCTCCCGGACATCGCCTTCCTCCAGCTGTGTCCTCTTGAGCACCCTCAGTGGGGGAATTCGATTGGCCCCTCCATCAGCTGTGCTGGGAAGCACCTCATTGAACTCGCCCCAAATATCATAAAATCCATCTATCAGCCGCTCATCGTAACCGATGCTGCACAAAATTGCACAGCACAAAAACAAATAAGAACACAAGACCAAACAAGCCAAAAAACATGAAGAAGGAATTCAGGAGTGCAGACTACCCAGCAGCAACTTTTGAAGGCAATTATTTGTTGTAGTACCCGATGCGGCAATTATGAGAGGGTAACAACAAGAACCCATGGTGCACGCTTTGCCCAGAGTTGTGATCAAAGCATGCCAACATCAAATTTGGTTTCTGTAGGCATTGTCAGATCCCATAGGGATTGAGATTCCCACTTGATGACATCTAGTTGCACACAATGGAGGCACGTGTTGAGGCCCCGCAAGATCTGATGACAGCAGCAACCACAGGAACCCACAAAAAAAGGGACCTGGTGCAGAACAGCGTGAAGACTTGCTGCCCCAGCTTGTGGGTTGAGAGCTGAAAATGCAAAACCACCACAATATCCGTTTTGACCATGCCGTAACACTCTGGCGCCACAGCCATATACCATACTTGTGTGTTTGCAATTATGAACATGATTGTCTGCACCCCACATGCCATTTTGCACTCCTGTCTTTCAGTTCCCAACACAACTGTCCCCAATTCCAGGAAACCTGCCATTCTGTCAGCTGCAGTCCAAACGAGCTACCCCTCTCCAATCTACTCGTCATCCCCTGCTTTCTCAAGGTCAGCTCCACATGTCACCTGTGGAATGGTTTCCCAAGCCACGTTGCGCAAATGACAAGCACATCTTCCCATGCAATGGATTGCAAATCTTACGCATCAAGCCAGGTGGCCACTGACAAGTCAACAAACATGGATCCAGGCCATTCTGTGGCTGAGGCAGCAGGCTTAGCTATGATCAGTGGACCCCATAGGATAATACGTACGAGCCCAATCAACCCACATTGCACACTCCCAAATTGCCTGGCCCAACAACTCCTGTGCCCTTCAACACCCCACAGGTGCCTGGGTGTGTCCTGTCAATTTAAACAAACGCAATCCGCCTCCATGAGTGCAGTAAATACCCTTGCATCACCCTGGCACTAAGCAGGCACTCAAACAGCCCAGCAGGCCAACACTGCAGCCGCTTGCAGGGCCAAAGTCCCATCTTCAACAGTCCCAACCTTTCCTAACACAAGTCCCCACAAGGCACAGACCAGTGCTGCTGGGCCACATTCCTTATGCGGACACACCCATGTCCCAACCCCCAACTTATCCCACCCCAGCGTTCCCACACCCCTATTTGCCCACAAAAAAGCAACATGCCCTTCCCAAGGAACCCCAACCATATCCCCCCCCTTCCCCGTCCACTCAACCTCAAGCTTGGCAATGTCCGCTTGGGCTAAACCAGCATCCCCACCAGAGGCCTCCCACACAACGGATGCCACCTCAGCCTAATGCCCGTCTTTGCGCACCAACCGCCGTCCTCGCGAGCTTTCAGATGACAAGAGGAACCCAGGGTCCCCCCCCCCCACCCCCCCACACACACACTCCCCCGGTGTTGCCCGCTCCTCCTGTTGCACTGGACACTCCGCATCAGCTCCCCACAACGTGAAAAAGAGCCCCACGCGCACAAGCTCAGAATGGGACTCCCGCCATATGACCTGCTTCTATTTTCTCCTCACGACTGTTTCTCAACAATGCCCACCCCCTCCCCCATGTGCCCACCTCTGGTTGTAGTAATACCGCGCGGACAGCCCCTCCGCCATCGCGCTCATGCTCGTGAACGACCCGGCCTCCCCGGCCCCCATCGACGACGCCATGTACTCCGACTCGCTGGCTGCCAGCGCGAACTGCAGCTCCTCCGCCTCCTCGCGCTCCATCCCGTAAGTCTCGGACACGTTGTACAGGGAGCCCGAGTCGCCCGACCGCTCCGGGCCCCCCCTGAAGGACTCCGAGCTCTTCTTGCCGAACCATCCCCACCGGGGCATCGCCTCGCATCAGCGCCCGCCCCCGGGCGGTCGCGGAGGGATCTGTCCGCCTGTTCGCGCCCGAGTCCCTCAGGGGGCGGGCTGGAGGGTTGGGGCGGTGTGGATGGACGCCCTGGTTGGCCACCACCCCAAGCTGGAGGGCGATTTTCTGCCAAGTTTGGCCTGCGGAGGTCTGGTGGCGCGCGGGGGCCGAGGACCGGGGCCGATGTGCGCCCGGGCAGCCCCTCGCGCGGTGAGCCGAGGGCGGGCGGGTCCTGCTCGGTGCCTCCGCACTTCGCACCCGCGCAGCACTGTGAAGTTTGGTGTGATTCTGACGTCAGACCGGGTTCGGCGTGCAATCATCGAGAAAGACAATGTGCCCCGACAAATTGACAACGGCCGAGCGCTTCATCACCATCAACATCATGAAGCTTTACACACGAGGGAGGTGGCTCCGATGATCTGCCCCAAATAGGGAGCTGATGGCTGCCACCTCGCCTCGACATGCAAGAATTTTTGATGATGATGACGATCTACCCCTCACATGGAGTCGCCCTTTTGCATCATTCCATCCCTGCTGGTGTTGCGCATTGTAAGTGGCCGCACCCCTTTCTGGTGACCGACCGGGGCTCAGCCCATACGTCCCATTCGATTCAGGAATCGGTCAAGGGAGAGAGAGAGAGAGAGAGGAGAGGCAGAATTGGAACGGAAGCTTTGTGTTACAAAATAGAAGCCGGGCAACTATATTTATAGCTGCCTCAAGTGGTGGCAATGTGGCAACCCCAGGGGCGCCACCAGAAGCCCGGTTTGAATGTTTTGTTTTATCCCGTTTGCCCATTCGTATCCCTGTGTCCTGAATGAATCACCTGCTGGTCATCGTGTCCCCTCGCCTTGCACATCATAATGACCCACCAAGTTGCTAGTCGTCCACAACTACTTTTGACATATTTGTGTTCATGCCACTGTGTTTACTAACACGGTTATTCCCCACAATTTTCCGCCTTTTCTATTGATGTACATTATTCTATTATACAGGGTGGGGACCTCCGACCCATCCGTTCTAATACACAAGGCCAGTTTATGGCTAGTTCATCCCTTTGTGGTTTATTATATAATGTACTGAGTGAACCCTTTCAACCAATTTGTCCTGTTAAGCTCTAATAGACAATGTATAGTGTGAGTCCCTCACACTCTTGCACCTTATAGAGAAACGCCCTCGTGAGCTTCTATCGAATATTCCTCCTTTTAGTCACACTTAACACCATGTCCATGCATACGTTGGGCCTCTTCTTCTCCACCCGTTTTTCCCTATCAAGTAGCCATCAAGTAACTACCCTCTTCACCTTTTCAGGATCCAATCCCTGCCCTAGTGAGGCTGTTGAACCCCTGCCCAAGGCTGTCGCTCGCCTTCCCATGGGTCATTCCAGGCGACGCCAACGTCATCCATCATCGGGCGCTCATCGTTGTCCAAATTGGCCCCGGTCCAACTCCCGTGGTCGAATTCATCTCCGTAGTCGGTCACCCTGTCCGACTCTGATACGAAAAGTCTATGGGTGTGGGGTTCCTGCCTTTTTTGAGCCGCGGACCCACCTCGCCGGGCACCTAGGTCCTTACAGGGCACCTAGGCGGGACCACCCCTCCTACTCCCATATCCATATAAGTATAATGGTTACCGTGGGACAATGAATACAATACGATCTTGGGCAGGGCGTCCCCCACATCAAGGACTATTAGTAGGGCGTCCCCCACATCAGACCAGTGCGCGTAACATTCGTCCCCCTCAGGGAGTGGGGCGTCCTCGTCCCAATATGTGGATATGGGAGCAGAAACTTTATGTGTATGTGAATAGAACTGGCTGTGCGATTTGCCACATGCCCAATTAATATACACTACACAGTTAGTGGTGAAGAGAAAGAGTGGTTGTTTTTACATGACCTCCCGGTCTTCACAACCCTCATTAAAACTCTTCCTCAGCCAAATGGCTGGAATGTTCGACCTCCCGGCCTATGATCTACGACCCCTAGAGTGGGAACCACCAAACGCCCATGCAGGGATGCGCCGGCCCGGTGCGGGACCTCGTCCTCGCCCGCGGCCACGCACACGCACAGCTCCACAAGGGGCCGGCACGAGTGGGTCGTCAGTATCCAATCTTTCTTCGTTCAAGATCGCAACGGACATAGCGTTCATGTGTCCGAATTGCGTCTTGGCACGGGGGGCGGTGTACCCAATGTTCTTCTGGGCCCATCTCAGGAGAACCTGTCAAAGCATAGTCACACATGAGCATGTCTCAGTATGTACATCTCGTACTTTATGCAGTTTGCATTCGCATCACAGGTGTTCTGCCATTTTCAAATGCTTGAACCAGTTCCTGTGCATTTGCAACTGACTTTGCTGATTCCCAGCTGTTATGCTCATGTCCATATCCCAGCCATTTGACCAGGTACTCAACATAGTTTTTGCGTCTCCCACGCTTTGTAATTCTTTTGTCAAGGATACGTTCAACTTCATACTCCAGTTCACCTTCAATCTTGATAGGTACTGGGGGTGGTTGTACTCTGCCACTTGCCTTATAAGGGTTGATTTTCGATACATAAAATACTGGATGTATCCTATGCATGCTTTCCGGGAGTTCTAGTCGATATGTGATAGAACCTATCCGGTTGAGGATGGTGAAGGGCCCAATCCACCTCGGTAATAATTTTCGAGTTCCAGGGTGCTTGAGGGTGATATGTTGTGTCGAAAGGAGGACTTCATCTCCTTTATTAAATGACACATCCCTCCGATGGCGGTCAGCATGCTTCGACTGCTTATCTCGTGCTTTTTCCAAGCACGCCCTGGCCTCTCTCTGCGCTGATTGGACACGGTGATCAAATCGTGTTACTGCTGGTAATCCCTCCACAAGGGGTATATCGAACTGCCTCAAATAAGGCTGTTGTGCCCTTTCAGTGGCCACTACCAAGCCGTGGGCATTCGGATTGTCATAGCCCTTTAAAGGCTTCCGAATTTGCACACCAAGAGCTAAGGGACTCTTTGGGTGCCTCCCGTAATTCAGATAGAACGGGGTCTCTTGGGTGGAATTGTTTTTCGAGTTGTTCATAGCAAACTCGGCCATGGCTAACAGTTCATCCCACACGTCATGGTCAGAACGTGTATAGCTGCGTAAGTAATCCTCCAGAATCCGATTCATGACTTTGGTCTGGCCATCCGTCTGTGGGTGGTACGCAATGCTCATGTTGAGCTGAATCTCCCACCTCTCGGCCAGGTACCGGTAAAACCTGGAAGTGAACCGAACGTCTCTGTCGGACACTATCTGAGAGGGGAGGCCGTGGTGCCTTATCACATTCTGCACCAAAGAGGTCGTACCATTCCTTCAAGCGGAGAGCTCGTGGTCGTAGCCTAGTATGACCATTTTGGTCACTTCATCACGGTCACGCATCATAGCATCATGTGACCTCCCTTTAGTTTTTTGGCAGCTGAGTGGATGCAGTCCATGGACAAGTTTGCCTAAGGGCTCCTTAAATGCCTAATGGCTACAAGCCTCGGGTCTTTTGGATGAGGATACTTAACCTCAAGGATACAAAACCAGGCAAGTATCGATGTACAGCTGTACTTCTCGTCGCATTCCCGGCCACCAGTAATGCCGCTGGACCAAGTCCAGGGTCTTGGCTTGACCAAAGTGTCCCGCACTTGGATGGTCATGAGCCAACTGGCAGATCTCAACCCGCAGACTGGCAGGTATATATACCTGATTGCCTCGCAGCCATAACCCGTCTGTACAGCGCATCTCTTGCTGTTGTCTTACAGACGTAAGCTGGGGGTCCTTGCCATAGGCCTGACGAATCCTGGAGGCTAGATCTTTGGCCTCTACCATCTCTCCTGCCTCTCTTTGGCTTCCCCGCTTATGCACTACTCTTAAGCCACATACAGCCAGTTGACTTTTCCTCCTAGCCACCTGTTCATCCGGCGATGGAGGAAT